ACCCTCCTCCCGTAGACCAGTTTTAAACATGTAATATATCCATCTCTATTTTTGACATTTGATGGGATAAAATAATTATCCTCACTGTGGTGTTGAGCTGCTCTGGAAATAAGATGACTGTTGCCCCAGGGTTTTCCTTGAGCTTCCTCTGGGGCCTTTTTGGGCAAAGTAATTTGGCCTTTGGGGCTCTAAGTTAGTTGAGTTGGGTGAGCATGGGACTAAATTCATACTCTTTGATCTGAGAGAATCAGAGACTTCATTAATGTATGAGAACTGCTTTGAAAATCAGAAAAAGCCCGAGCCAAGCATAATGAATATCAAAATCCAGCTCAGCCCCAGCACAGATCAGATGAAAATGAGGTGATGAAAGCAGGGAACTAGGCTAGGATGATACAAGTTACATAGTTAATAGTTATTAAATATAAAAATACACTCACAAGTTAAACTGTGAGCAATAAATGAATAATACTAAGAAGATACTGAAAAAAAGAATAAAAAGAACAAAAAACCAATAGGGGGTAAAAAAAAACCCCAGCAGCTATTAGAATAAAAATAGAATAGGTTGATATATCTAAGCAGAAGGCAGAGCTCAGTTAGATTTCTGGCTGTTTCCAGGGTGTGTGACCTTGGGCAGTAACTTAACCTCTTTTTGTTGGTTTTGCCTTGGTTTCCTTATCTGTAAAACAGGAACAATTTTACCCACTGACTGCAAAGTGTTGTTGTGACGACAAAGTGGAAAAAATTTACAGAATATAAAAAAGTACTCAGTTAACTAGACTACTTCCCTCTGACTGAAGCTTCTTGCTTTATGGTCCTCTAAAAGCTCGACTCCTCTGAAGGAGTTCCAAACTGGGGCACCTCGGCTTGAGGTACAGGGTTCTGAGGAGACTGCCGAAAACTCACTCAAGGCCTTAGACACTAAAAGTACATTTTGTTTTGTGTTGTTTCATTTTTTTTTCTTTCTGCAGTGGGAGTTGGATACTCTTTCTTTCAAGCATGTAAACTTTTTTCAAAAGGTACCCATCTTTATTACTTTTTGTCAGTACATTTTCTGAGTTTGTGTACGTGGGAAAAATCAGTTTGGCATCAAAAACCAGCAGCAGTTTACTCTTGCATTCTGCCTACGATTAACTTTCTCCTTTTTTCCCATAATAACTGTCCATTATTCTCTCAGTATCAAACTTACCTTGGAAGATAACTATAGAAAAAGTAGATTATTCTCTTTCATCAAATGACATCTCATAAAAAGAATGCAAAAAAAACCAATTGGCAATGTTAAAATAAATCAAACTTTCTTCATTTCAGAGGCTCTGTGTCACCCACAGTAAAACTATTTGTTGGGAGTAGCTTGCATTTGCCTCAGTTTAGAACTGCCTAATATATTTATGAGGAAGAAGACGGCTTACTGAATCAATGACAAGGATGGAGAAATCATTTTATCTGCTATCCATCATGCTTTCTAAATTAAATCAGAGCATTATTTATGCTACAGATATTGTTCATTTCACCTCATTGGTCTGTGAGTAATAGGGATTATAACGATCAGTTCCAAATAATTCTTCAAGATTTTTAATTGCTAAGCCAAATATATAAGATTTGCTCAAACCAAAACATTGGTGTTAATTTTTTATAAAATAAGTCAAACTGATTTTTTCAGTTGTTGTTTTTGTTTGTTTATTTTTATTAATTTGCATCAAGTAGAATCTTACGTCTAGCACAGTGCCTGAAACCTAGCAGGATGTAATAAATACTTGTGGAATTAACATTTAATACCGAGGGAAGTTATGGTAGGACATTGTTTGTGAGGGTTAAAATGTGATTCAAGCCCCTAAATCCATAGCTCCAGTCTAGATCTTTCTCCCATACTTCAGAGTCTGCATTTACCGTTTGCCTCCCTGAATTTCCCGTGAGCAGCTCAGTCTCAGGGTACCCGAAACTGATGCATTTCTTCTGCAAACCTTCTCATCTCAGTGAATAGCACCGTGATTCCTCCAGTTGCCCAAGCCTGGGCCTTTGGCTCCCCTTTCTCGGTCACGTCCCACCTCTTAATCAGTCAAAAAATCTATTTCTTTCCAAGCCCACTGCTAGCCCTCAGTGCCGCGTCCCGAATCCAAGCTAACACCATCTGTTGCCTTGACAACTGCAACAGTCTCCCTGCTTCCCGCTTCCCCTTCTCACATGCTCCTAGTTGTCTTGCCTTTTGGACTTTCCACATCCTGCGCTCTCTCTGGAGCACTGTGCCCTTCGCTCTCCCTTCTCCCTGAGCTTAGCTCCCACTCTGCAGTTAGGTTTCCTCTTTCTGGGCCACTTCCTTCACGTGAGCTTTTCCTTCCTGCCTCTCCTCCTCCCCTGCACCCCAGTTTGGTCAGGTATTCATGCTATGTGATACCCAGCCCCCCTTCATTTCTTCTCAGCTTTAGCGCAATTGCCTGTTTTCCGTCTCTCTTGCTAGACTAAGCTCTATAAGAGCAGGGATGTTGTGCAGATCATGTTTGTATCCCCAGCCCCACACATGGAGCTTAGCGGACAGTATAGGTGCTTGATAATTTTCTATATATTCTCGTTGTGAAAAGAATGAATACATCTGCCTTGCTTTGCAGAAAAAGATGCATTCCTCCTAGGTTGTGATATTCCTTTTTCATCTCTTAATGTACTTACAAAGACTTAATTAGTCAAGCTAATTAATAAAGCCCCCTAAGTTACTTTTATAAATAGCTTTGGATCTCTGTATATCAAGTTTCTTTAAAGTGATAGACACCGGTATTTATTGAGAAGTTGATTTTATATGGTAATTGCCACTGAGTCTAATTTGTATTTATACATTTACATATATATTATATAAAGTTACCATTCCTATATAGAGTATGCTTTTAAATAAATGAAAGGGAAGGATAAGATTTAGAGAACTTAACAGCAGAGCCTGTCCCTGGGTGGGCCTTGCAGTGTTTCCCACTGAGGAAGAAAGCACAAAAAGTCTGTTCCTTCCGTGGGGAGAAGAGATCCATGTAGGCTGAGTGGGTGGCACCCTTTCCATTAGGGACTTAAATGACCTAGTCTTTGCCTGGACCATGCCCTGGGCTTTGGAGGTCTTGCTTAATAATCCAGGGGCTCACCCTTTGTAAACAGAACAGAAAGAAAAAGAAAGATTACACAGGAAGAAGCGAAAGGTGAAAGCTTGGAATTTTGATGAAGTTCTTTTGTTTTATTTGGTTTTGTTTTAGCATTTTAATATGCTGCCGACATTTTGTTTTATGTCGTAGTTAGAAACACGTATTGGGACGGTAGACTCTACGGATTTGGATACCACTTCCACTTCCTGGACAAGATAGTGACGTTGGTTACTTACCGATAAAATGGGGATAGAAGGAGTACTTCTCTTGGGGTTGATTTGAAGGTTAAAAAAGAAAACGCACGTGTAGGGCTTAGAATAGTGCCCGGCATGTAGTGAGTGCCAAATAAATGTTAGATGCTGTAATTATTAGTTGAGATTTTTTTCAAAACTCTTTTGGATTCAGAATCAAAATAATCAGTGAGCTACAATCTGATTAAACGCTTGTGTATGAGAATGAACACTACATCTGCAAATAATCATAGATACTAACACCTAGCTTCATGCTAGCTCAGTAATCCTGCAAATGTTTGATGGGTGAGAGAATGGGTGAATACCTAGCAAAATCACGCTGTATAAGAAGTTGGAATCATATAGATAAGTCTAACCAATCATCTGTTATGTATAGTGTGAGTTAAAAATACTAATATAAAGACGTTGGAATATTAACATCTTTTTAAGTATTTAAGAGAGAATGCACGTATTTTTATTTAAAGTGTTGATTTTAATTCTAGTTTGAAATTCTTTCATATTTCTCTACCAGGGAAGAAGACTTGGAGACAAAATCAGAGCAACTTAAAAGTAAATATCATTAATTAATTCAAAATTGACTTTATTGCTGTAGTTGCAGAATTGGGATAGAGGCTAAAACCATATTTTTAATTCACTAAACCAATATTGTACATTTGAAGGCCTATTTAATCTAAAAGAAAAAGCTGCGGCTGCACTGTGGCTAATTGCAGTACTGGCATGTCCCCAGATATATGAGCAGTTTGTCAAGTCTTGGCTCAAGTTCTGAATAATTTCTGTAGAACATTTCATATGAGTTCCAGCTTCTCTTTCCTGCCCCCACTTCAATTAGCGTAAATAGCGTTGCACCTTTCTACAAAAGGAGATTTCTTTCATAAGTGATTCTAGTCCTTAGGATATGAGGATGAAGCATGGACAAAGGACAGGGTCTAATGGATCATACTCTGGGCTCAAAAAAGACATCTATTCATTCATTGATTGATTCACAAGTCCTCAGTTATCCATGATATTCTGGTATCTGCAGAGAGTAGCCTCCTCATAACTGTTGCACCCTACATTTTCTTTGTGTGTTTTTGATGGTGAAGAAGGACAAGAACACATCTCCAAGGGGCAGTGTAGCATGTGATACAGATTGTAGAGCTAGACTGCCTGGCTTTTATCCGGGCTCCATCACTTACTGGCTGTATGACCTTGGGTAAGTTCTCTGGAACTCAGTTTTCTTATCTATAAAATGGGGGTAATAATAAAACACCCTCAGTATGGAGTTAGTATAAAGATAAAAGAATGTAGTATTTGTGAAGTACTTTAAAAGTTATGTGGTACACAGTGATGTTCTAAGTGTTTTGTCCAGTTATTAGCAGGCTAGTGAATGCCCTACACTGACATGCCACGTCTGGTCATCACGTTGTACAGCCACGACTGCTGGTTTCAAGCAGGCAACAGGCTGACTGCCAAATTCCATGGTCTGACATGTCTTTTGGTTCAGGTTTCCAGTCATGACTACCTTAATATTCTGCTGTGTGTTTTTATTCATTTGCATATCCCTGGGGGAAAGAATATAGGAGACTGTGGCCTGTACATTGTCTTTGTGAGATCTCTAGCTGGTAAACCAAGTTCCAAAATGCACATATTCTTCCAATTCAAGTCAATTGGCACAATCCTTAGGCATTTAAAAATATTATGTTTCACAACTTTCCAAACTTGTGTTTCAGAACCCTGTTAGGAGTACATGGCACATACCTATCTGATAAGTGGAGGATACAAGATTTTCAGTCTTAATTATACTTATTTAAAATGATGATAACACTTGGTACATTGAGCAGACAGAAATCAAAGCACACTTATAAAGAGGGAGCATGATAATGGTGGCTGACTATCTTGATCGTCAGTTTTCCCGTCTGTAAAATGAGGATGGGGATAAGCATGCCATCGCTTGCTAAATTGCTGAGAAGATGAGATATAATGATGTGTGTTAAGCACCTAGGACAGCGACTGCACAGTATACAGAAAGCAGTCAGTGAATGTTCTATTCCCCATGTATCAGTAACAAAGAGGTCATATTTTGTGGAGATGGTTTTAGCCGCTAGATCCTGTACTTGAGTTTCAGTTCTAGTTGTCATGAAGTAACACTACATTACCTGGAGGTTAAGCTTTTTGCAAGCTCAGCTGTCCAGGACAACCAAGATCCCTAGTATATGCTTCTGAAGAGCAAATAACCATCACAAATCTCATGCAGCTGACTCAGTAGGGCTGTCCAAGTCCTTTCGAGTCTGCAAACTAAGGCAGCAGTTTAGGATCAGAGAGGTCACTTGCAGCAACAACTGACGTGGGGCAGAGAGCAGAGTGAGATGAACACGTTACAGCCATTTCAAGACACAACAGATAGTTCTGCGTGTCTTGTTAGCCCGGGAGTGTATCATTGGATTTTTTTGATACCATCCATGTTTATGATGCTGTTGCTGAGTCACTGGGAAAAGGGTCAGTGATATTGTGTGTCCTTGGTTAAAGAATTCGAGGAGTCAAGTCATATTTTCTAGCCAGGTTTACATCAACTATCAGTAAGGTTAAAAAGCCATTTTGGTTCTTCAGTGAATAAACTTTAGTTATCTGGACAACCAACTTTTTATGAACTAACCTCATTTCCCTGGAGTGCTAAAGAAATGCAACATTACTTAACATATAAAGTAAATTCTAATGAGTAGCTTAAATCTGTCCTCTTAGGCAACAAAAATGATTTTTTAACTAGTACATATCAAAGTTATTTCTGAAAAAATCATAATTGTAGTGTTATTTTTCAGTTTCTCCTATACAGTTAGAACATAGAGAAATCTTGATTTGAGCTAGGTATCCATAGAGAAGAACTATACTCACATGGATGCTAATTTCACTTTTATTTTCATTTCAGATTGAAGTGGTGCATGATTGTCGGGAGAAGAGAAGTTCTGCTCAGTCCTCCAGTTTGGACAATGACAATAGCTTGGATGTTTTAAAGAAGTATCTTTTACTTATTAACATACACCCATACACACATCTACCAGCTTTGAGTCAGTCTTCAAGGCAAACGTGCTTGGAATTTTGAGGTCACAGAATGGGGTTCTCCTGGGTGTGATGGAAAGGGTACTAGATGAGGTATCCCGGATTTAGGCCTGGCCCACCTGTTCTCTGTTTATGTGACTTGAAATTAACTAGACCTTTTCAGACTCTTAGTCTTCTCTGAGGCAAGAATGAGTGGGACACTGTTTCAAAAACTACAAAAGATGATGTCGATATATAATGTTATTTGATAGATGCTGTTATCTTGTTCGTTTTTATATTATGTTAGTATTCCACACATAAGAACATTGGCCTTTTAAATTTTATATCACAGAGTTTTGAGTTAGTACCAGTATTTTGGAGCAAGTTACATATATATATTCAAAGATTGTTAAATGTTAATGCTTAAAAGTGTAAACATTAAAAAAGAGGCCCAAGGTAGAAGTTAAATGAAATGGGTTACTTCTACTGAGGAGAGAGGAAGCAAATTTTAAATATGATGTCAATTGGAAATCACATTGGAAGGAAAATATATTTTATTTTAAAGAGACAGTAAACAATATTACTACAGAAACTTAAGTATATTGGGAAAACCAGTGTAAGAAATCCACATGATGTCTCAGAAAATTTCAGAACATTACTGGGAAAAAGGAAACATTTTGCCTAAAATGCTATTTTTTTTTTCTGAGAGTAAAAGTGAGAAGGAACTATAGCATAGAGACTGTGCTGTCTAAAAAATATTCCCCAGATTTTCAGGAATAGATTTTTGTGAGTTTTTAGCAAATTGATTCTTAAGCTTAGTGAGTTAAAACTGAAAATTTTTTTTTAATTTAAAAATAACTCCTGAACCCCAATCCCCTTTATTTTAAATATATTTTTAAAATTCTTGTGGGTAGTACTTATTCTAGAAACCGTGGAATTGATTTTATATTTTGATGATAAAACCAGAACCGTTGGTAGTTCCCCTGCATTAACAACTTTCATCTTAGACTGTTTATAATGATGATAACTGAAACGTTGCAATACGATTCTAAAGCCATGAAATAACCAACAAATATGGTCCTTGCATTTTAGCCACGTCCTAAATGAGCTGATACAGACAGAGAGGGTGTATGTTCGGGAACTGTTTACGGTTTTGTTGGTAAGTGACTGTGATTGTATTTTCCGTCTTTTCCTGCATCCATTAGGAAGTGCTGAGGGCAGACTTCTCTTTTGGTCTCCTTCCTTGATTGTTTGATAAATGTGCATGTTCGGGTTCTCCCTCAGCAGTGAGAATTGTGGGTTCAGAATTTATTATGAAAGAGATAAGCCATTCTCTTAGGAATACAGCAGATTGTTATAATTATTCCCAGGGTGCTATTTAGAGACTGTGATGTAAAGCACTAAAAATGGGAGAAAAACATTCATTTGATACAAATGTCATAATACTCATTTGTTCTGAAAAAGAAAACCCAAACACTTATTGCCTGTTTAAGGAGAAGTTAATGACCTATAATATAAATTTTCATACATGGTTTCTATTTCCTACACCATAAGCTACCCTGAAGGCCAAAGAGCTGTCACTTCATTCTAAATTGACTTCCCAGGCTCTGTAATCATACTGTCTTCCATGAATGTTCTGAGTGGAGCACCTTGAGTTCTTTGTCCTGCTGTCTAAAAATAATAATAATAATAATAATAATAATAATAATAGATAACTTTGGGAGCTAGAAGATTTGAATGTTATAATTACAGAAACTTCACCCATTAATCCCCTATACATTCTGCTGAACCTATACCTTTGGTGGCCCAACCAAATGTTAATATGAATATTTTTTAAATGAATAAATGTGTTTATTTTGGGTAGGGCTACAGAGCGGAGATGGATAATCCAGAGATGTTTGATCTTATGCCACCTCTCCTGAGAAATAAAAAGGATGTTCTCTTTGGAAATATGGCAGAAATATATGAATTCCATAACAAGTATGTAATTGCTGAATTGAATTTTCTTTTTCACGATTATAATTTAAAGGGTTATTGACCAATTTAGTATATTTCACATAAAATTATATCATTTTTTTCCTTTGAAATTTTTACAGCATTTTCATGAGCAGTCTGGAAAATTGCATTGATGCTCCAGAACGTGTGGGACCTTGTTTCCTGGAGAGGGTTAGTTCAATGATTATTTAAAAATATATAAATACGGGCCACCAAAATAGCAGTTAATGTTATAGGAACAGATTTAGAGATAAGGTGGGCATTATTTTTTTATGTCTTTATGTTTTTGGAGGAAACACATCACTCCAACAAGTATTTAATGCTAAACCAAGTTTTGTTACAGAAATGGAGTATTCGAGCATGCAAATGGCCATTGTATTCTGTGGTATCAAACGCTTCAGTGGCTCAGCTTGTGACCAATGACCCCTGGGTGATCCCAGGAGCCCAAGGACCATCCTGGCTGTGAGGATGTGAGAGTTGGGATCATCTTAGCACAGCCAATTTTTGGCTTGGTTAATTTTCAGCCTAAGACATGCCTTGGTATTCCTCTTTGCAAAACTGGGAGCTGTCTGTTCTTTTTATTCTACGACGTCATTCAGGGAGGCTCGTTTCTCCATGTCCCAAGAGTGCACTTAGTCAGTTTACTTCCCAGGCTCTGTCGTTATACTCTCCTCCGTTAGTTTTCTCTCAGAATGTTCTCTGCTTACCTAGTTCCTCTTCTTTCTGAAAAATCAGTTCTGTCTTGATTTGAGAGTCAATTTGATAGAGGTGATCACTGAAAGCTTCCAAGGAGATAGCTTATCTCCTAAAGTGTTTATGGAGTGAGAGGATAATAAGGATAAGGAAGAACCTTTCTCAACGTATCCTGACTTAAAACGCACTTAAACTGTAGCCAGATTCTTCCCTGACTTCCCTAAGCCACAGCAGTCCCTCTTTCCTTTGAACTCCTGCAGTACTGAATGTCTGTGCTACTCACTGGGAATTTCATATTTACTAAGCATCTTTATGTTTATTCATGAATCCTTTCTCCAACTAGATAGAAAACTCATTGAGGCAGGGTCCATGTCCTATATATCTTTGTATTTCTAATAAAGTCAGCAGAGTTCTTGGCAACCGGTGTGGTTTAATAAATACCTGGTGATATGTTCATTCATTCGACTGCCATCTACTGAACCCCTACTATGTGCCAAGCACTGTGCTAGGCAATGTGGGATACCGAGACTACTCATACAGAAAAACAGGGAATATGTTGTGTACAGTGTGAGTTGTGCTATATTAGAGATGTACAGAGGGTCCTATAGGAGCCAGGAAGAGGTGCATCTTACATAGACTGGACATATGAATGATGGTTTTATAGAAGAGATGACTCATGAGATGACGTGAATGAGTGAGTAGGAGGTAGCCTATTAGATGAAGGTCAAATAAAGATGATTCCAGGGAGAGAGAATAGAATGGGCAGATGCCTAGCAGAGTTATGGTACAGTGATGATGCTCCAATGGTGAACAAAGGACCTGGGAAGTTAGCTGTAAGTTCATTCACTAGGTAATCCAGAGACTAAGAGCATATTTCTTAGTATTTAGCTCATAGTAATGAAAAAAGTAGTCTTGTTCAGAGAAGGCTTCTCTCCCTCTAACTCAGACTTGATAAGTGGAAGTTCTGAAATTACTCGGATAATTGGGTGTCCCTCTACCTGGTCTGATGGGGATGCTATCTTTGGACTATAAAGAGGGCTTCTGACCAGCTGCTACTGTGACAGGCCCTTTAGGCACACTCCCAATAATGCTTGGCTACACTCACTCCTGCCCAACCTTTCTTTCTTGAGAAGAAAAGTACATGTTCACAAATTGGTAATACATTTGAATTTTCTTTTTATCACAGAAAGATGATTTTCAAATGTATGCAAAATATTGTCAGAATAAGCCCAGATCAGAGACAATTTGGAAGAAGTATTCAGAATGCGCCTTTTTCCAGGTATAGTAATTATTCAGGTATTGGACATACTCTTTCTGGAAGATACTGGGATATTTCTTATTCATAAATGTATTTTCTGCTTTAAGTAAGTTATATATATGTGTAGATTAAACAATCCGACCCTACCCCAAACACACACAAACATACATGCTGTTCCTCAGAGACAACTACGCTCTGCTCTTTGAGCAACTTCTTTTGGTATTTACCTCCATGTCGCCAAATATGCCTATGTTGCTGCTTCCACCATGGGAGATGAGGCTTTAGCTTTCTTCCTTTCCCCCACCACATCCACACACGTACTTATTTTCCTCCAAATAGTCAATATAGTTATATTGTATAACAGTGTTAAATTATTGAGTATGTGATTTCTGTGCTCAGACGAATCATGTGTAATAAGGTGATTGCTTTTCCCTCCCCTTTTTTTTTTTGAAGGGGGAAGGTAATTAGGTTTACTTATTTATTTTTTGGTTTACTTATTTATTTTTTGGAGGAGGTACTGAGGATTGAACCCCGGACCTCGGCATGTTAAGCATGGGCTCTACCACTTGTGCTATCCCCTCCCCCTTCCCTCCCTTTTGTTTTTCTTACAATTGTCTTTTTCACTCACTTAATTTTCTGGGTACTTATCTCTATCCCAGACTCTCCCAGTTGTGAGAGTTACATCAACCTCTTCTTAGTACATCTAAGCATTATGTTTTCTCTGCATGTCATCTTGAATAAATCTCTCCTGGAATCTTCTGCCCTGCTCATCTAGACTCGCTAGGCCTGTTGTGCAGCTGCCATCTTGGGATGTTGGTGAAAATCATTTTGGGCAGTCTGTTCACCTGTCTCTTGCATAGACTCTCCTGTTTCCTAGGGGCCGTATCTTTCTCTTCCTTATTTTATTCTCTTGTTTGGTGGAATACATCCTCCAGTAGTTTTACTGAGAAACTGTGCATGATAGGTAAACGTTTTTGAGAGCTTGCATGTCCACAAATGTCTTTATTCTACCCTAACATTTGATTGCTAGCTTGGCTGGGTATAGAAATCTATGTGAGAAATAATTTCCCTCAGAATTTTTGAAGGTATTTGCTCCATTGTCTTCTAGCTTTCAGTGTTGCTGTTGAGAAATCTGATGCCATTTTGATTTTTGTTCCCTTGCATGTGACCTAGTTTTTATCCTCTCTCTGAAAGCTTTATGGGAACTTCTTCTATCCTCAGGGTTCAGAAATTTCACAGTGCTGTGCCATTATCCTAGTCTTGTGGTGATCCCTTTAAATTTGGAACTTCTTGTCCAAATTTACTTGAATTTTTTTCCTTTGATTTTTCTCCAGACAATTTTCTCTAGTCTTTCTTTCTGGAATCTCTATTGTATGGATGTTGGATATTCTGGATCAGTCCTCTAATTATCTTTTCTTTTTATTTCCTGGCTCTTTGTCTTCTTGATCTATTTTCTGGGATTTATCTTCCAGTCCATCTGTTGAGGGTTTTGTTTCTGCCATCATGTTTTTAATTTTGAAGAGCCTCTACTCTTTTTTGTTCTCTGTTCTCTTCAGTAGAAACATGTTTTTGTTTAATAAGTTCAGTATCTTGACTTATCCGTATGAGGATAATAATAATAGATTTTTCCCACTAAAAACAGTTTTCTCCTCCCTGCAGAGTTTCTGTGTTTTCTTCATATTGCTTTTCTTTTTTTCTTTTTTTTCATTTTGTTTCTGTCACTGTCCTCAAAAGTCTAGTGATATTTGGTTGTCCACTTACATTGAGAATAAGCACTAAAAAGTTCATTGGAGGTTTCCTGTGTGTATGTGGGCTTTTTGACCATGGTCTTCACTGTTGGCTGATTTGTGCTTGGGAGAGCCCCAATACCTGTATCTTTAGGTCTTTTCACTCAGGCTGGTCAGATTCTCCACCCTGCTACCTGGAGAGTGAGGATCTGACTACCAGTGTTCTGGTAGCCAAGTTGGGGGAAAAGGCTCAGAGTCTCTAAGTTGATACATAAATACTCAAGCAATCTCTTCGCTTTCAGTATGGTACTCTGCCCTCAACTGTACCTGGTATTCCCTAGTCCAATGGCCCTCTGTTTTACTCTTTTCAGATAAGCATCCATTCTTCAGCTATGGGAGTGGGGAGGCAGCCACCCAGCTGTGCATAGCATCATGGCTGTCTAAGATGCTTGTGGTCACTGCTGCTGTTTCTTTTTTCAGATTTTAATGCTCATTTAATTTTTTTTTTTGGTAACAGCTTTATTGAGATATGGTTAAAATAACACAAAATTCACCCTTTAAAAATGTACAATTCAGTAGTTTTACTATAGTCACAACCTTGTGCAACCATCACCACTATCAATTTAAGAACATTTTCATCACCCACCCCCCATTTTCCCCTAAGCCTTGTAGCCCTCTGCAATCACTGAGCTACTTTTTGTCACTACGGATTTGCCTGTTCTGAACATTTGATATGAGTGGAATCCTAAAATATGTGATCTTCTGTGTCTGGCCCCTTTCACCCAGCATTATGTTTCCACAGTTCATCCATGTTGTAGCTGTGTCAGAACTTCTTTCCATTTTATGGCCTAGTAATATTCCACTGTGGGAATATTTCACATTTTATTAACCCATTCATCAGTTGATGAACATTTGGGTTGCCTGTACCTTTTGTGTACAAGTTGTTGCATGGACATCATTTTCATTCCTCTTGGCCATATAGCTGGGTATGAACTTGCTAGGTCATACAACCATTCTCTTTAATGTTTTGAACAACTGTTGGATTATTTTCCAAAGTTGCTGCACCGTTTGACATTCCCACCAGCAGTGTGCAAGGAGCCTGATGATGCCACACCCCTACCAACACTTATTAGTATCTAATTGCTTCTCTTTCTTTCTGAGGTGATTTTATTTATTTATTTATTTTATTGAAGTATAGTCAGTTATAATGTGTCAATTTCTGGTGTACAGCATCTAATTACTTCTTACACAATCGTTCAAGAATCATCTTTTTTCAAAGCCAACCTTCATCTCCAACTTTCAGAGGTACTTGATGCCGGTAATCCTGGAGTCTTCATGGAGGGCAAGGAAAAGTGTTCTATAAGATAAATTGAGTTGTTCCTTGATTTTTCCCTCTTCTGGTTTCCAAATTTTGTCAATGTTTTTTCCTCTCTCATCTTTGTGACTTTAGGTTTTGCCTTGTAAAAATAACTTTTCCATCATTTTAGTTGGGTTTCTTGAGTGGGGAGAGCTAAATACATGTATCAGGCTACCATTTTTAATGATAAGTTGATAATTGAATTTGATTATGTATTGGATTTTATCCATACACAGAGGGTCCTGGATCTCACATACGTATATCCTCTCCCCTTCCCTTTGTGTTCTGCACGTCCATATGCACATTTCATCCTAAGCAGCTCCGTCTTGCCCTAATTATGGAGCCGACAATGTTCCCAGGACCCAAAGTCATGACTCTTATATTTATAGTGGCAGTGAGCCAATAATCAGATGAAATATAGCACCAGTTGATAAGGGCTGTATTTTTTCTTGTGACATTAAAAGAACTTCTCATACCCAGTCTGATTTATATTCAGTACAACCTATTTCTTTTCTGGGTCTTGGCCTGTGGAGCTGAGCCTTTTGTTAATTTTCTTGGATACACTGAAGAACTTTTTAGTTATGTTAACCAGTCATTCATTGCTTTCTTACTTTTTAAGCATTCCACATCATTGTGAGTTTATATGTAGAAACTTTTTAGTCATTGAAATTTTGCGATTTTCTGCCTCTCAAGTCCTGGAAAGAATATTTACTATAGTTTTTCGAATATACTGCCTCTTAAAATTTCCATACCATATATAACAGCGATTTTTCTGGTAAATTTTCCTTGAGATGTAAGAAGCATGCATGCATCGGGTCTAATCAATGAACATTTGGTGTTTTCATAGGGATATGTTTTAATTTAAATTTATTGATAATTCTATTTTAATGCCAGGAATGTCAAAGAAAGTTAAAACACAGACTTGGTCTGGACTCCTATTTATTGAAACCAGTGCAACGCATCACTAAATATCAGTTACTGTTGAAGGTAATTACATGAAGCGTTTGTTTCGTTCCTTCCTTACTTTTTTGAGTCAGCTGTGGCAGAACCCTTAAGAAGGAAGCAAGTGACTTGGAAGCACTAGAAATAGGTAGGCTCAATGACTGGGAGGCCTGGATTTAGCAGTAGAGTCACTGCAGTGTGCTCCTTTGGTTCCCTGGGGCAGTGCAGGAGCCGGAGGTAGAGGCGTAAAGCTGAGAACATGCAGTCTTTTTAGCTATTTAATGATCCATACAAGTTACATTGATGTATGTGTAACGTTGACTGCAGAACTTTTCCTGTTGCTAAGAACTGAACAAATGTTTCTTACCGTTTTGAGACTGTATTTCCCATGGGTCTCCTCAACGAAAAATGAAGATGGCATACCCCTCAGTAATGTGAAAGGATTACTAAAATGCGACATTAAGTATAAACACAACATAGCTTGTTTTAAGACAGATTTTCACAATGTTCTGTGGTATATGCATAATGAATAAAATGAAGTGCTCTATGTGGAGGACCAAAAAAAAATGTGTAATTGCTTTAAGAACAAATCTCTCATGTGTCCTAATGATTGTTCTTCAGCTCCAGAAGCATCGCATGCCCTTTGCTTTATATGATTCACTGTTCTCTTTCTCCTCTCGTTTTTGACGTTGTTATTAAATACAGTTTTGATGTGACAAATAACATGTGAAAGAAATTACTCGAAAAAGTGACATTATCTTTGGATTCCTCCTTGAAAGCATATTAGCCGAAAATATATTCATTTTATCCAGCTATTGATATCAGCCTAATATTAAGTTTAGTTCTTGAAATCTAATTACAGGAGCTATTAAAATATAGCAAAGACTGCGAAGGATCTGTACAGTTAAAGGAGGCACTTGACACGATGCTGGATTTACTGAAGTCAGTCAATGACTCTATGCATCAGATCGCAATCAATGGCTATATTGTAAGTAGATTTCAATGATTGTTGCAGTTTTACAGGGTAAGCATCTTAACATTCCTTTCTTCCTCTCCTGGAACCAAATGAGAAATAAGAAGTTAGAGGCAGACAAATGAAGGATCTGAATGTCAGCATTGTTGCTTATGCTGAGTGGAAAACTGGCTTCAGATCAGCAGCCAAATGGCTTTATGACATTCCCCTTGTGCCTAACCCCCAAGCTCAGACCCTGGGAAATCCTGCTTGACGGAATGTTTAGGTCTCTTCTAAGGAGACATATGGTCCCATTATTGCTCTTTGCCCCAGTCCAGGGTAGATAGGGAAGAAAAAGATCAAATCTTTAGACTTAGCTCCACCCAGTGGGGAAACTTGGACTGGGTGACGTTATTTGCCACTAAGGATTTTTTTTTTTTAATATGTTGTTTGTTTTTTGCGGGGGGTGGTAATTAGATTTATTTAATTATTTATTTATTTATTACTGTTATTTTTATTTTAACTGACGTACTGGGAATTGAACCTGGGACCTTGTACATGCTAGGCATGTGCTCTACCACTGAGCTATACCTTCCCCCCAGGATTTTTTTTTTTACTACTTTTTAAAAAATTTATTATTTTTTTAATTGAAGTAAAGTTTGTTTACAATGCTGTGTTAATTTCTGATGTCCAGCATAGTGATTCAGTTTATATATATATACATGCACACACACTCCTTTTCATATTCTTTTCCATTATAGGTTACTACAAGATATTGAATATAGCTCGCTGTGCATATGCAGCATAAACTTGCTGTTTATGTGTTTTATATATAGTAGTTAGTATCTGCAAATCAAGGAAGCGATGGGGAGAGTTGGCCTAGCTGCATGCAGTACCTCCCCATGGAGACATGAAGCCAAGAAAAAGGAGGTTTCTTCTGTCTCCCACCCTCACAGTAATTTTGTAACTGTGGATACGTGGTATGTTTCAATGTGAACAGTTGTGATGACTAAAACTGTAAAAACTATAAATTATTCTTCAGGGTTTTAGTAGCTCCAACTAAATACTGTACTGTTGATGTCAGAGATCTGACTGTATCTCTGCCTTGCAGTTAATGAGTTTTGGTTTTTCGTTCCAGGGAAACTTAAATGAGCTGGGCAAGATGATAACGCAGGGGGCATTCAGCGTCTGGACTGGACACAAGAAAGGTGCTACGAAAATGAAGGATTTTGCTAGATTCAAACCAATGCAGCGGCACCTTTTCTTGTATGAAAAAGCCATTGTTTTTTGTAAAAGGCGTGTTGAAAGCGGAGAAGGCTCTGACAAATACCCGTCATACAGTTTTAAGCACTGTTTGAAAGTAAGACAATTTGAATTGTGTAATGTAATATTCTTTCATATATGCCTATACTGTATTCAAGTTTGCATACTTTTTCAGTTCAAATGACTGGGTTTTACACTTTAGTTGCATACCTTTTTTTTTTTTACAAAATCTTTTTTTTTTAATTGAAGGACAGTTGATATAGAACATTCCATTAATTCCTGGTGTACAGTGTAATGATTCAATATTTGTATATACTGTGAAGTGATCACCACAAGTAACATCCATCACCGCACATAATTCCAATTTCTTTTTCCTGTGATGAGAACGTTTAAGATCTACTCTCTTAGCAAGTTTCAAATGTGCAGTGCAGCATTATTAACTATAGTCACCATTGCTGGATATTACGTTCCCTAGGCCTTATTTATTTTATAACCAGAAATTTGTACCCTTTGACGCCCTTTACCACCCATTTTGCACACTCCTACCCATGAAATCTTAAGTAAAAGTCTTAGATAGAAGTCAGGTAAAGCAGAACTTGTCTGCCTGAAACGAGAGCAAGGGAGGGCTAAGCGTGAAATGAGAACTTTAATCCCAGGCCTTCCGCAAGGGGGCACCCTAGGGTCCCACACAGCACAGTTTGAAATTGTGGGAAGTGACCCAGTTTCCCTCGTTAGCACTCTCTTACCGGTGGTGCTAGGTAGAGTTCTTGGTCTTAGTAGCAAGAGGCTTTTATCATACAGGAGAGACAAGGCGGAAAGACTTTCTTCCGTTTCCTCAGTGTCATTTAAAAATGGATAACGTTTGTGTACCCCTCCTCTGCTCCCTAGCACCTCCCTTCCCGGTGTCCAAAGTCACCTACAGCGCAATCCTGCCCACACCTGTCCTGTTCTAGCCTTTTCTTAGAAATTGCTTTCTTCTCTTCCGTAACCCAAACCGCCGTTCTGTCCTAATGTTAGTTTGGTCTGAAAATGAGAGCAGTATTGTTTGAGGAAGTCAGTGGCAAACCAGTGATACTCCCAGCTGCTTTTGACATTTGATGAGAGGAACTTCCAGTTCACAGGAGTCTGTAATTGGCAAATTTGATTTTAATTTTACACCTTATTCATTTTATCCTTCAGGTTCTACATTGCAAAAGCAATATAGCATTTGTTAAAGAAAATCTGGAAAATGGAGACAAAATTACTTTCTATTCCTCTACCACTATCATTCTAGTCAATCTGTCACAAGCCTGTTCTTTCACAGTTGTTAGCAAGTAATGAAGGGGCTGGGCTAGGTGTCCTGAGATAGGCCGGGGGTGTGGGGTTTGCTTTTGATTCTTCCCAGAGGTCAACCATCCATGCTGTTCCTAACAGGGTTCCTGCCCAGGGTTAGGCCGCCAACTTCTTCCTGCTGTCTACTGTCCCTGCTTCACTTCTGAACCCACAGCAGTGGTTGTTTCAAACTCTCACTATTTTCATAACAGAAGTGCCTAGTTGCTCCTTGGATATCAGCAGCCCACCTCCAAGCTTCCCAAATCTCCAAGGGTCTTTTATGTCTCTAACAAACATCGGTTAAGAAGTAAGAATGTGTAATTGACCTCAGACAGGGTTCAGATCTCTTGCAATCTATGTATTCCTGGGGAGGGTACTGTATCTTCACAGATGTGTTGGTCCCACATCCATTTGGTTCACTTTTTATTTGTGGAGTGTGACCTAGTTACTACGTAATATACTATTCCTAGTTTGTATTGATTTTTTTTCTTACTTTTAATGTGTCACAATGATGGGCACAGCAACAGAATATTTCTAAAGTACATCAGAGTAAGGAGAGATTGGTAAAAGGTAACCGGTTGATGAGAATTCAAACTACAGTGGTTACCATGGAAACAGAGGGTGGGCTAGATGCAAGAAACATTTCCATGCAAAGTAAACAAGCAGGCTTCTTGACTAGTAAGTCAAGTAACGAAGGGGACGGGCTGGGTGTCAGAAAATAAATACAGATACAGAAAATAAATAATACCTGACGTTTGAAGGAAAAAAAATCAGCCTAATTTCTCTTTATTCCCCGATCATGCCTAGAATCCTTAACAAAAAGAGATTAGTCAGTGATTCCTGTGAGGGTTTAGTGTAGGATCACTAGGAAAACAGTGATGTCATTGATAGAGAAAGATGGAAATTAAGCTATTTCAAATAAGCCTCACTATGCTTACTTCCTCTTGCTTACCTGTTAGGAGATTCCAGGACTAAATAATGGCTAGTCGGACTAGTCAGTGTGTTACATAACCATTTGGGTTACTGGTTTCAAAGTCTTCCCCTTGGTAGAGAGGATCGATGCGGATGCTGGCCTCTACTTCTCTCGCACTTTCGGGGGACTGTTGCCTTCACTTCATCATATCAAGCTGGAATTTCAATTTTATGATGATTGTGAGCTAAATTTTAAGTCGGCTGCTTCTGTGCAAAGGAAAGGCCCTAAAGTCATAGTTTGCTAAATGGAGACGTTTGAGTTCTTCAGATTCCTCAGTTTGTGCATTTATTATTATCATCTATGTTTCTACATTTAACAAACATGCACATAGTGCTCATCATTGGCTAGGTGCTGTTCTCAGCGTTTACAAACATCAGTGTTAACTCGTTTAATCTACATAGCAACTTTCTACGAAGTACGAACTGTAATAACTCCATTTTGAGGATGGGAAAGCCAAGTTCCAGAGAGGTGAGTGATTTATCCAGGAGCACAACTAGTAAGTGGTGCAGCACACATCCAAACCCAGGCAGATGGCTCCAGGGTTCACAGTCATAATCACTGCGCCATGCCAAAAGGCCTTTGTTCTTGCTTGTTTATTCTTTCATTCCTTCATTCATTCCTTTTCATCTCCGTTCTCCACACTCAACTTCCTCTCTAACCCTGTAGCAACCATTCTAATTTATTTCATGTACATCCTTCAGTTTGTGTGTTCTTTTTAAATATATACTGATGTTCTGTGCACATCTAGTTTTAATTTATATAAGTTGTATTCTGTTATAATTCTCATTTTCTTTTTTCTTTTTTGATCCCAGAAACTATTTTCAAGATACAGCCATGTTATTATTTTATATTCAATATATTGCTTCTAACTGCTTCATAGCACTTCAGCCTTGTTACGTTTCTTTGTTAATGTGAATCAAGATCATTTTTTAAATAATACTAACCCAAGAAGTAACTAAATTCTATCCCAGATACATAAATAATAAAAGTCTGAAGATAAGTAGTTGTTGGTTATAATCCCAGAGTTCTTAAGCCACTGGGTGTCTTTTAACAAGGTAGTTGACTGCTTCACCCTGATGACAGAAAATTAGGTCAAAAGTTGGGGCCCTGAGCACTTGATACAGCAAGATGTCTTCAGATAAAATGCTTTATAGTAAAGAAAATATATTCATAGCTACCAGAAATCATCGATGAAAATATGAAAGATAAGGCAGAGACCACAGTTAGGATGTAACTGTAGAATCAGCCTTGCTATTTTATTACCTATATATTATATATTATATAGTATATCATATAACTATACTCGTAGAGTTAGACCTTTAACTCTGCCTCTAGAGTCTAAAGCGGAGTAAATTTTTATGGTATAGCAAGCATTTCATAAGTAAAATAAAAACCTTTCAATAAAGACTTTTATATTTTGTTACTTGAGAAAATATATACAATCCACGAATTACAAATGCATTGTATTACAGTGGATCATTTGTAGTGAATTGTTTGGAACTAAGAACAATATTGTCTGATAGATGTAATAGTTAGATTTCCAGGGTAACTCAAAAAAGCTCATTTAATCTATGATGATGTTCTATATGTGTGCAGTGAAAATAGCAAAACTAATGCAATTCAAATGAGGGGAAGCTGAGAAAGCAAACTCATACTTAAAAATTCATTATATTATCTGAGCATTTAATGCATGCTATTTAATCCTATAGAAATACAATATGTCAACTCCATGAAATAGGTACTCTTCCCATTTTATAGTTGAGGGAACTGAAGTTCAGAAAGGTTAAGCACCTTGCACCGAGACACATAACTAGCAAGTAGTAGAGATAGAATCCAACCCGGGCCTCTTGGACTCCAAGCCCAGGTACCTTCCAGCTTATCATGTTATTAAGACAAAATCAATTTAGAGATTGAGTATGAGATTATAATTTATCTTAAATCTTGCTGTTTGAGCAAAAGTAGGTTAGGGAGAGTGGCTGAGTAGGGATATAAAGATATTTTTGGACATTCTGAAAGTAACTTCTGAGTACATTCAGGGTAGGTGTCACAGGCTCTTCATTAATATGTCACATTTCATTTCTAAGCATAATCCCTTTTCCTTGAGATGAGGATCTCACTAGCACTACTTTTAATGCTTATCAGCTCTAATTAGGGTCATTTGGGAAGCATGTAAATGGAACAGAGAGTGAGATATTCCTTTAGATAATTAAGTAAAGACTCAAAGAAAAGAAAAGGCAGAAAGAGCCGAAAAGAGAATGTATGTATAAGGGAGTGAAATTGCTCAAAATGGAATTAGCCAAGCTATTAGCAGCACAAGATGAAAGAAAATGGAAGACTTTGTGCTTTGCACAAGCATATGGAGGAGAAAAAAAACTATGGTAAGAAAGCGATATTGCATCTAAAAGTTTCACTAGCTACAAGAAGACATCACTCTCCCGTTACAGATTATTTGTTTTCTAGAGAAGCCAAGAGAGTGGTAGAAACAGAGGGGATTTTTGTGGAAATAGAGGGGATTCACTCTCCCTGACCCATAAATTGGATGTCTATACCTTGTAGGGCTTCTATAGACATAAGTAATAATTTATGAGATTAACTTATCTGGCATATGATTATTAAAAAGAACCATTTAAATTAATTTTGAATGACCTTATTCACTGATGTTTAGTCTTCTGTGTTTGAGACAATAATTTGTTTTAATAGTGTACGGTTAATTTATAACAGAATTCAGTCTTAAGTCGATTACTTGGATGTTCAGACTTATAACACGTGTTTCAATCATTGGAATGGAGCATGTAGTCTGTACTGTAAGTGCATAGTTCAATGAGAACATAGGAATATTCAGGTCTGTAATTATATTTACAATTTCATATTCTTTGATTATAAATGTATACTTTGCCCAAGTGAGAAATTCTGCTCCACATAGAATATGAAAGGGATAGATTTAATGTAATTTTATTTTCAGAATAAAATGCTCATGAAAATGTTGACTTATGTATTGTAGATGGATGAAGTTGGAATCACCGAGTACGTAAAAGGAGATAACCGCAAATTTGAAATCTGGTATGCTGGGAAGGAAGAAGTTTATATTGTCCAGGTTGGTCATTTAAAAATTATTCTAGAAACCATTATCTGCATTAAGATACAAAAGCCTGAATTTGCAAACAAAAATAATTTTGGTTACATTACAAAGTTCTCATTCCTTTCTTATAGGTCACCTAAATATTGTTTGGTTATTATTCTTTGTAATTCAGTTGAACAGTTTTTCACTAGCAAGCTTTCTTTCACTTGAGATGTCTATGGTGCTTTCTATGGCTTTAAGTTTTCACTGCTACACCAGGGGACTTAATCAACAAGAGGTGATAGCCAAGATCAGATCTGATCATTGTTTCTAAAGAATGTGGTTAAAGCCCTGGCCAGATGTGCTGTAAGATTCAACCTGTTTCAGGGAAGAGGAGAGGATTAGAACATTTGAAGAGGAGGTTGTCATTTCAAAAAATATTTGTATCATAACTCATGACTGAGGAGTGTGCTGTTATCTGTTGAAAGTGCAAGGTGTTTCTTCTTTGTTTTAATTCTGTATGCAGTGATTACAATTCATAAAAATATGTCTTCTTGGCTTGACGTAGATGTATGACTTCTTGCTGTCTGTTAACAGACTTATCTTGTAAGTAATGGGAGGATATTTAAGGAAGCTTTCATGCTGTCATCAGTTATCAAAATAACTGCAGTAGATTGTCTTTTCAGAAACAGTAGAACTTTTTTTATTTTACCAAAATTAAACATTAAACCATTTATGTCTTTAAAAGACCCCCTTACAAAGAAAAGATCAGTAAGATTCACATGTTACATTTCTCTCAGAGTTATTATTTAACGGCAACTTCAAAATGGTTTTGGCTATTATTTCATCTGATCTGATGGCTACTCATTTGCTTCTTAGAAGTTTTAAGACTCAAAATGTTAGAGTTTGGATATGGCAGTGGTTCAGGATGTAGATCGTGTTTGATGTACTTAATTAGTTACATTTTTTTATCATAAAGCATCCTTTATAAAAGGAAACATGTCCTCTCCTCCCCCACTTTTGAATCTTTAGGCTGCAAATGTTGATGTGAAGATGACATGGTTAAAAGAAATCAGAAGTATTTTGTTGAAGCAACAGGAACTCATGACAGGTAAATTCAAACATGCATTCTTCAGAACGACAAGTACAGTGACAGCTCAGTGACTCAGATTTTGTGATAATTCTCCCAGGGAATGGGGCTGATATTTACTTTCTACTATCTATAATGGAAGAGTTTGTTCTCCTAATTAGTAGGAGATCATGATTCAGGGAGCTGTTTAAACTCTTTCGGAAAATGAACTTTAGCGTGGAAGGTGTGCTTTAGTGCCTGAGAAGCAGCTGTGAGGTAACAAACAAGCTGAATGTGTTCATTCTGAGTCCTTCCCACGGGGCACCTCTGCTTAGGGCCTCAGTAATCAGTGCTAGTAATGTTGGCATGTGGGCAGTTCTAGTTATAAAGTTGAATTCCTTGAATAAAATATTACCTGGTTCAGTCCTTTTCCATATTCTAAGTTCAGACTGGCATTCCGTCTGACTATTTCAAATCTGTGAAGGTGCACTCGAATTGGAATGGGGGGATGTGGTGTGTGTGTGCATATGAAAGCCATTGGTCCTCAAGGAAGTAAGAGCGTGGCTTCCAAATGATGCTTATATAACCTTTATTTCACAGTTAAAAAACGAGAACAGCATAATCAGTTAACAGAACAGAACCATCTTTCTTCTCAGCGGAATGATGAGTAAGTGATTATTCTTTAAAAAATATCACTCCTGCAGGCTTCTGTTTTCCGTATGTAACATGAAACAATGTAATTAAACTATCAGACAAAAATTACCCTCTTTTAGCAGAAGCTCATCAAATTCTATAAACCCATCATTTTTTCAGTTCTATATTTGGAGCCTGATGGTCCTTAAGAGTTATCCCATTGTTCCCCTTGATGTTAAAAATAGTACAATAGTTTGGTCAAATTTTTAAACATGATTGATTATAAATGCTTTGTTCTCAGTATAGTGTAGTTGGAGAGGAGGTATGGACCTCAGCGGGGGTGGGGTAGGGTGGAGACTGCTTGGACACAACCACAAAGTCTTTGAGGAAGGTAGCTGTCCTAAGTGATAGCACTTCTGCTTGTTTAGAGATGTGGCCTTTGTATTCTACCTCTCGGAGTCCTAAAAGGTAGAGTTTCCATAGAATATTTGCATATATGCAAATCTCCACACAGATTCCAAACCCTTGGCAGAGAATTTCACTGTGCAGCATCTGCGTGATGCAGGGATCATTGAGAGACTCATTAAAAATATATTTTTCTCTTTGTTGCACATCATCCTTCAGAGGTAGCTAAGATCAGGTGCAAAGTATGTTGATTCATCTGAGGCTTTAGGGGAACCATTTTAAAATGATTGTAAGTCTTTATTTTCTAGGGTTCACAATGCTCAATCTTTTGTCACATATTCTGGAAGTAAAGTCTTTTGATTTCATGCAAGAATTGACTTAACAGTAACTGATACAACTCAACAGTACGAATCAGATTAAGGTTCCATCATCATTCATCTATACCTTACCTTATTCATTAAGGTTAAAATTTCATAGAATAACAGGGATTTTTTTTGGTGGTTTATACTTTTTCTAACTTACTGAGTTATAGTTGAAAATTAAAATTATATACATTTAAAGAGTACAGTTTGATGATTTGATATGCATATACACTGTGAAATAATCCCCACAATCAAGCTAAATAATATATCCATCACCTCACATATTTATTCTTTTTTGTGTCTGTGGTGAGAACATTTAGAATTTACCATGTAGCAAATTTCAAGTATATAATGTAATATGCAACAGGGATTTTAAACAATATACTTGCTTTGGGTGCAGAAGGGAGTTGTTTTTCCATGCTGGCTTGGATCCTAGGACTTAAGCTTCTATATATTATGAACAGTTATCACACAGACTTAAATAAGGGGGAAAATCTGCTCACTTTGAATGGATTCTTAGACTATGTTCTTAACACGTGGTATCAGTGGAAGAAAAACCTTTTTTTTTTTTTGCTTTTAGTTTTTTGTTTGTTTTGGGCTGGGGAGGGAACTAATTAGGTTTATTTCTTTATTTTTTATTTTTTAGAGGAGGTGCTGGGGATTGAACCCAGGACCTTGTGCTTGCTAAGCATGTACTCTACCACTTTGAGCTATATACTCTCCCCCAAGAAATACCATTTTTAATTTCTTATTACTCTCAGACTGTACGAAAACTCACTGATTTTTACATATTTACTATTTCAGAAGGCAACGGGGAGCTTTTGTAGGCACTGAGGAAACTGACCTGGAACACACCAGCGCTATGGTAGAGGTCGGTGAGGCCATCGCATCAGTTCGGGCAGAAGCAAATACAGGTATGTGTAGTGGTCATTTGAAGGTACGATTCATGGCTGTGCAAGTTGTTTTCTCCCATCGTTAATTTGGGACATCCACCCGTCTGTTATCTTTATATGAAGAAAACAAAGGTAAGAAGGTAACCCATTTTTAGAAGGCTCTTCTGTCCTGTGTGTGTGCGAGATACTCTGGTGGGCACTGCAGAGCAGAGGTTGTCAAAGTGTGGACGGTGGACCAGTAGCATCAGCATCACCTGGGAACTTGTCAGGAAGTCAGATTTCCTGGCTCCATCCCAGACCTTCTGAATCAGACCTCTGGGAGTGAGACCAGCCGTCTGTGTTGTAACAGCTTCTCCATGTGCTTCTCTCTGAGGCCTGCCCCTCCCACACAGGATACAGAGGTGAATACAGCACAGACAGGGCTTCAAGGGAGGCACGCTTTTCTCACCATCAGTTTCATGAATAGAGGGGGGTCATGTACAACTGGAATATTCCTTTTCCTTTTGCAAACCGTGTCATTTAAAGTGATTTCAGACAATTTGTTTAATGCGGCAAACATAGCAGCCAGTGGGCCAGGCATTGTGTAGCCCTCTGGGCACACGGTCTAATTGAGATTCACTCAGCTGCCATCCCCGTGAAGTGAGGAGGGTAGAAAGATAATTCAACAAGCAAACATTAAGTTTGATAGTGTGGTCATGTGGGAAGTACAGGGGGCTTTAGAAGCACCCGGGAGGGTCACCAAAATAACTGTGGAATCAACGGCGTCGACTTCCCTGAAGAAATGCCTAACGGAGTGCCTGGTACTCAGCACTTAAAGATGCTAGAGCTTAATCTGGAAGACTTCTCTACTCGCTGAGGAGAAACAAGTGACAATGACCTTGCTCAACTTCCATTACCCATTTCGAGGTCAATCCTCTCACACCATCTCTACTGTGGCTCCCTGAGCGGTCAGGATAAAGCCTACTACCACTGCCTTCATTTGACAGATGAGGAAGCTGAGTCAGAGAAGTTGGGATGACTTTTCCAAGGTGACATGAATAGTTTAGTGTGACCAAGATAGAATTCTGTTACTTCTCTGCCTACATTAGATTGCTTAAACCATACCAGTTCAATGTATTTTATTAATTAAACATCTCTTACAGGCTCTTATGAGACATACAATGTATAACCCGTGGTCTCTGCCTAATAAAAGAGATAAGACAAGTCTAAAATAATATTACCAGGTAGAATGTTCTAAGTGCTATTTGAGACCAATAAAAATGCTATAGGAAGAATTTTTGAAAGAATGGATTTTCTCTAAGAAGGAGTAAATATTCTCTGGAATGTTATTTAGCTTACTATTATTTGTAATAACTGCCACCAACCCCAACATGAAACCATCCTAAAAAGTAAAAGAAGTGTATGATATTTCTAGGCCCTTTCTGAAATATCAGAAATTCTAAAATAGTACAGCCTCCTTGGAGGTGTTATTATAAAAGATACTATTCTTGGACCATTGAAGGTTAGAGCCTTGATGATTGCAGTTCGTTTTGCTTCCCTCCTTGTGGTGGGCCAGTAACATTAAGTAACTGCCACCCTCCATGTTTCTGTTACAGTTTGGACAGAGATGTCATCACCTACAGAAATCTCTGATGAGCCTGACGAATGGCCAAGTAACTATTTCTACTCTTCTTATGATGACAATGAAGAAGAAGAAAGGCCTCTCATGGTTAGTAGTGACATATTAAGATAAACAAATAAAAACTCTTTGAGCAGTTTTGTTGATGAAATAAGCAAGGCATGTAGGAGCAATCTTTTGTCAGCATCCTTGAGGTCATTAGGTGTGCTCCATGGCCAAAAGATATGAAGCAAGTTTTACTATGAACATTCAGTAAGCACTTCTCTGTGTAAGTGGAAGTGTTTTGAGCTATATGTAGAGCTCCTACTGAAGTTGATGACACAGTCAATCATTCCAAGTCTCTATATAGTGACCAGTTTTATCTTTTGTTTTAAGAGAAAAAAGAGTTTTGTTTTTTATTATAGGATTGTAAACTTTAATATATGTACCTTCCTAATAGAGTTAAGGGACAAATAACTAAAGAATCTGAAGTAATAAGCTCTTTTTATTTTTTTAAAAAGTTTTTTGAAGTATAGTCTGTTTACAGTATTGTGTTAATTTCTGGTATATGGCATAGAGAGTCAGTCAGTTTTATCTTTAATTGAGCTTCACCACTCTGTTTTCAGTCTCGGCACGTGAGATAAATTCAAAGCACAAAGAAGGCCCAGTTATACTTAGAAATCAGTTTAGAGTCCAGATTAGAAAATATAGGAAATAAACATTACTCATGAAAAATTGTTTAATGACCTCTGGGGAATATATTTTAGTAGGCTGTCAAAAAACATGCTAATGCTGCAAATCGCAGCATATTAGAGCAAGAGGGCACCCCATAAAAGTAAAGGTTGCTTTAGGGTAAAAGTATGTGTGTTTTTAATACAGAACCAAAGTTTATTATTTTTTTTCTTCTTAAAAAAAAGAAAAAGAAAACTCATTGTGGAGAGAAGCCCCTCCCTCTTCCCCTAAGGGCGGGGGGCTGTGAAAGATAGCTGGGTAATCAAGTACAAGGGGGTGGGGATGGAGACTGTCTTGCCAGCCTTCACACTGCCCAGCCATGTGGGGTGGAAGGGAAAGGGATATGGAAGAGCCTGTTTCCATGACAACCAGTTGCCTACCCTCTACTTTGGTGGAAAGAAGGGAGAAGGCCCTTAGGTCCCTCTGGAGGATTTCTGCCTCAAAAGACTTCAAGTCGCTGTTAACAGAGTCAGGCCTGGTCGTGGAGGGAGAGGGGCCCTGGTGGAAAGCTCTGTAGAAGAACTAGTGTACAGTGTAGTTAAGATCCTGGTGGATTATTACAGGGGAGTTAGAACTGTTTAGGGTAAATCTCCAAATTTCTGAAGTCACCAGTGTGCAGGGTGGGAATTATGCTTTGTAGTGGGCTGCTCCTTGGCACCCTCCAGAGGAACAGATTCAGTTTGGCAGTTCTAATGTTGAGGGAAGGGACTAATGGTGTGGATAATCCCAAAGCTGCATAGCATAGGTGCTGGGAAGCTTTCTTTAAAAAAGTAACAGAATATTTTTTCTACTAATAACACAATGACCATAATTCAGAATTGTATGGTAGTTTACAGTTCACAAAATGATTTCACATTTAATAGTCGCAGTCTTCATAAGAGGAAGGGCAGGCTTTATTAACTCTAACTGACCAAGGCTCAGAGCTGGTAAGAGATTTGTCCAGAGTTAGTTGTCTAGACTGGCAGTGCTCAAACTTTTTAATGAGTTCACCTTTTTCAAAACAAAAAATTTAGTGAGAAGAATAGCATTTGAAATTTGCAAATCTCTTTAACAGCTGGCTTCAGAAAGGACAGCTGGATTCTATCTGCTTTTACATTCAGTCTGTTGTGCGATCACACATTAGGTGGCCTCTTGAAAACTCCTCTGTAGACTTGGGAGAGGATGAGAGTGAGAAAGGCAAATGATATAGGTCTGACCCTTGCAGACCCTTGGAACCCCCAATGGTCAGCCTCCCAGACTTTGAGAATCACTGATTTAGACTAAGAATAAAAAGAATTTCCATTTCCTTAATTAATATTATCTGAGGATGGGAGGTGTGGTTGTTCAGATGTGAGCAGTAAGTCAGGGGAAGGCAGTTTGGGTTAAATGTTTGCTGTAAACGATGCTCTCTGAGGGGATTGTCAAGAACTGAGAAAGTCTTCAGTAGGCATTTTTCCAGCTATGGTGTCGGAAAATAAAGCATATATGCAAAAGTGATGAATACTTTAATCATAGGGGATGGGTATGTACAAAAAGCTATTAGCTCTTCTCTCTTCTCCCAAGAATTCCCTACATTGTGCTAGGAAGGGAAGCATACAAAAGACAATACGATGCATTCCACAACCCCACCCCGATGCAATAAAATAACCCCGAAACCAAAAAGCAAAATAGGTTGGAATGAGCTGCTCTCTTAGCCTCGCTTTATCGAGCCAAGAACAAGAAGTAACGGGTGCTGCTTCCCTTGTAGAGGCCCGTGTCGGAGATGGCTGTCCTATTTTAATGAAGCTACTATGTTAAATGGCAAGTAGCTCTTTCCTGCCTGCTCCTCGGCCCATTTGATAAAAATACTGCTCAAAAGACGTTCAGCCCAAGTGACGTGGATAATGTTTTCAGATTAATTCCTTTGGACGTGCAAAGAATCAACACTACACAATTCTTTCCTTTTATTTAAAAAAAGTATTAATTATGGTTCTCTTACGTCTCAGAATCGTATATTCAATGTGTAAGAATCTGTGCTGGAAAAATTCTCATCTCAGAATACATTTGGACTTGAAGATTATTATTTCTTCTCTTGTCTACCTTGTAACCAAATGTAATCAGTGTGCCTTGGATTACTTAGCTTATTAATGAGTCAAGTTAAAATTATAGCTGAAAAAAATTAAGGCCAAGTAAAGCACAACATTATGATTTAATATGCTTTTATTGGACTAAGAGCTTATGTACCCATTATTTTTACCTGTGCAAAGTGATACAAAGTGCAGAAATCCTGTGGGGGCACTAGTAAATCTCTGTTCAGGGCCACTGCCTTTCTATGTGCCAAGAAAATTTTTTTACGAGAGTAGTTTACAAATAATAGTATGTAAAAATTATTTTCATGCTTTTTTCCTGGATTTATGCTTATTACTCATGTAACTTAAATTAGTTATGCTGTTATTTTCTGTGTAGTTCATGGTGTAATTCTTTTTGCAAATAAAAATGAATTCTTCAGGTTAAATAAACACATGTTCTGCTTTTTTTTTTCCATCACAAACTGCTCTATGTTTATTTGTTCCTGCAAGGCTGCCACAGCTAACCACATTTACCCTTGAAGTGGAGAGTGCATTCTTTATATCACAGAGCACGCAGTTGTGCAAGTCGTTTTGCATTCAAATTTGTAATGTCATGTTTCAAAACAACCTTACAGTCTCCAGGCAAATATAAAGCCCTAGCAGATTGCAGGAAGAGAGGCTCAGAAGACCTCCTGTTTAGAAATGGAGATGTCATTCAGCTTCTCCATGAGGATGCTGAGGGCCAATGGTAGGTGCGTTCTCTGGGACTGTGTTGACCTCCGCCTGGGGCACGTGGATATCTAATCAAATGTTCTGCTTTACTTGTGTCTTTGTTGTACAGTCTCAAGAAGCAGAAATATCACATTTCTTATCAGTGTTTCATTTTCATTGCTTCAGCCATGCCTCTATAGCTCACTGAAAGGAATGTTAACCTTTGGTGAGTGAAAAATGCTTCGAAAGAATGAAATGCTATGAGTCTGCATGCTCTTTGGTGGTTTACCTTTGGCTCAGATGTTTCAGTGAGACATCTGGCTTTGTAATGGCTACAGGCACATTACATTAAGTCATTTAAGTCATTCATTAATTCATCACATGCTTAATGAATGCCCACCATGTTCCAGGGACCATGTTTGCTACTTTACAATGTAGCCACACTTCTCTTTATCAGTTCAAATACTGACTTCTTAGTCTTACCATTCTATCATTATGCATCTGACTTCATACAGCACCAGTTGCTAAGATACTCCTGCCAGATATACTGTTTGATTATGGATAACCCAAAGTGGGAAGGAAATATTGTTTGGAAGAGGAGTGAATGAAACTTCCATAAATCTTTTGGAAATTTTATATGAAATAATTCTGCCTTCAGTGTGTCAATAACTTTAACTGAAGTGCTATGTTGACTGTGTACTCTGACCCTAAAGGTGGAGGAGTCTGCAGAGGAGGGTGAAATTAATGATGGATCACTAAAGTAATAACCAATTTTGCTAGTGAGCTAAGTCCTTTGTAGGTTCCTCAAAGGACTCAAGCACGGTGTCATGAAGGTCTTTGAATATGTGCAATAGTTTTGTGAAAGTTTGAGCTTCAGTGCAATGTATTTGTTTTTTTTGTTACCTTACCATTATTGGCTACTAACTCATTTATTATTTAGGTTGGTGAAAAATCTAAACAGAAGAAAAGAAGGTCTGATTCCAGGGAACAGTTTGCAGATTTTAATCGGTGACTATAGGTTTCGGAATGCCAAAGTTACAGGTATAATATGAACTGACTGTATGCTACTTGTTTAAAGGCTAAAATTTTTAAAGCTCCACCAAATATGTAATTGGCATAGGATAAGAACCTCTCTGCACTTAGAAATAAAGCTGCAAGCATATTATGTTGGCTAGGATTTAATTTTTTCTTTAATAGTTTCAAATTAGTGAATAGAGATGTTTTAAAGATGTTAAACTTTTCCCTACAAGGTTTGTAGGTTTGAAAGAAAGTTTCATATACAGTGGTGTCTTGTAAGAGATCCTTCAGAACTAAATACTGATGATATGTTTTTAAGGAATCAGCCTTACTGTCCAAGAATGCTTTACTAGTGTGTTTTTACTCAGTTCTAAGAGCATGTTACTTACCTATGGTAGGTTTCTGCTACACATACACACGCGCACACACACAAACACACACACACACATTCAGTGCCTGTGCCCAAGACTTAATGTGTTGAAGACACTGTAAAGCAATGAGAATATTCCTTTCTATTAACCCAACCATTAGTACATGAAATTTCTGTATAGAAACAGTATTCTCATAAATTTTTCCCCTAAGTGATACTGAGCTCTCTATAAAAAGGCAGCACACACACACACACAACACCAGATTTGTTTGTAAACAAGATGATTATTATTATATGTACATATTTCCTTTGAATTCCTAGTTTCGGACTTGTATTTGAATTCTAGGTTATGTTACCCTATGTTTAAATGAATCTAATAGACCAGGAATACCCTATTTGGTTCCAAATTTCATTTATGACAGGAAACAAAATCTAAGGGTGATAGGGCTTGATACAAATATTGAGTCACTAGGAATCCCCCAAATAGGGTCACTTCTTGTTTATTTTTGGGGTTCTCTAAATCTGGGTCATCTTTCAAAGGTTTTTTGGATAATTATTGAATTACTGAATTATTTAGATAGTAATGAGAAGATACTGATAGACCAGCAACCTGAAGTAGCTGACATTTATTCAAAATCTAGACCCGACAACGGCACAGTACACCAGTATTTTTAAGTGTACATGGAACATTCAGCAAGGTAGGTCGTATGCTGGGTGGTCACACAATAAATCTCAATAAATTTCAGAAGATAGGAATCATACAAAGTCTCAAAAGATATATTAGAAATTGATAATCTCTAAATATTTGGGTATTAAATGATACAACGTCTAAATAACACATAGGGCAAAGAAGAAAGCACAAGGGGAATTATAATTATTTCAAATTGGATAAAAATGAAATGTAACATATCAAAATGTGGGGATACAGCTCAGGAGGGAGGGAAATGTAGGGAAATGTATAGCTTTAAATTAAATACTTGTATTACACACATAAAAATCAGCGTAATTTGCCATATTAACATAATGAAGGGGAAAATTATGTAATCATTCCAATAGATACAGAAAAGCACTTGACAAACTCCACACTCATTCATGAGAACAACTCTCACCAAACTAGGAATAAAGGGAATTTCCTCAATCTGACAATGTATGCTTGTGAAAAATCACAGTTAACCTCCTACTTAATGGTGAAATATTGGAAGCTTTCCCCCTAAGACTGGGACTAAGCCAAGGATATTGACTCTCACCATTTCTATTTAACATTATACTGGAAGTCCCAACCAGTGCCATAATTCAAGAAAGAGAGATAAGAAACAAAAAGATTAGAAAAGAGACAACACTGTCATGCTTAGCAGATCACGTGTATGTGCAAACCCTGAGGAATCTATACACAAAAAGACCCTACTAGAAGTAGTAAGTGAATTTTATAAGGCCATGGCATACAAAGTCATTGTACAAAAATAAATTGTAATTCTATATTCTAGCAAAAAAGAATTGAAAAAAATAAAAAACACCATTTGCATTAGTAATATAAAACATAAAACTGATAGGAATAAATCTAACAACAGATGTCTAAGGCTTCTATACTGACAACCACAAATAATTGCTGAGATATATTTACGATGACCTGCTAGAACTAGAGATAGACCATGTTCAGGGACTGGAAATCTCATAAGAAATCCATTATCCCCAAATTGACCTATAGAGTCAATGCAATCAAAATCTCACTAGGCCCTTTTGGGGAAAAAAAATTAAAGACAAGTTTATTCTAAAATGTATATGGAAAGGTAGAAATATCTAGAACAGAAGAATCTCAAAAATCTTGAGGAATTACCTGATTTCAAGAACTACTAAAAGGCTACAATAATGAATACAGTGTGGCATTAGTTTAAATATAGAAAAATAGAGATTTCAGAAATAGACCCACATATACATAATTGATTAATGTTTAATCAGGATGTCAAGTCAACTGAATGGGGAAAGAAGGTTGTTTTAACAAATGGTGCAGGAGCAACTGGGTATCCACACAAAAAAACCAAATGAACCTCCACCCCCTACACCCAACTCTATACACAAAAATTAATTGAGTTGCATCATGGACCTAAACATAAAAGCTAGACTCATAAAGCTTCTAAAAGCACAGGATAATATCTTCACGACTTTGAGCAGTTAACCATTTGTATTATACAGGGCAGAAAAAGTACTAACCATGAAAGAAGTCTGACAGACAAGCACAGAGAAACATTGAACATACTGAATCGAGCACTTTACAACTTAAAAAATTTATATGTGTTAGAATGAGGTAAAATCTAAGATCGTAACATTTTGAACACTTTCAAAAGCCAAGTTGTGATGAATCACATTTCCCCCCAAATTAACTGATTCCATCTTACGCATTTAAGAGTTAAGTTCGGAAATAAATATGGTCAGCTTTCTGCCAACTGCTTTATGCTTATTTGGATGGTTAATGAGAGATAGAAAAGAAATACATGAGGCACTTAAAATACATGTTCGAAGAGCTATTTAAATTTACACATATAAATCATTTTTTAATGAAGCATTTTTAAAAAACCGATAAAGCCATGAAATAACAGTGCAGTGTATATACCAGAAAAATAATGGCCTTTCTTGTGCTCAGGTCTCCAGAATTCAAACTTGGAAACACCAAGTGCATTCCTCTAATTAACTTCCATATAATGTTAGCATTTGTATTCAGCATTAGGAACACTCAGTAGATTTTCCATAACTTTTATCATCATCATTTGAAATATAGGGCCAGATGTCCTCATACTTAATTCAGGACAAAGTTAATTACATTCAGTTGTAGCTAACTGTAATGCGGGACATGTAAAATTACACATTTGATTTTAGTTTGAAATGATTCCATTACTGTAACTAATACGGCAGATTTAGGGCATGTTACCGCCGTTTGACAAGTGCGTGGCAGAACAACTTAACAACTGCGTTGTGGGCTCTGTGCTTGTTCTTCAGGCAGTAAAGGGCTTACTATACATTTGTGAACATGCATACACTTTATTTGGGAAAAAAATCACATTCTTTTCATTTTTATTTTCTAACATCAGTACACTTTTTCAATGTCCTTTTCTTTTTGGTAGTGTCACTGGGAGAGCTGAAGTGTAAAGTACTGATATATCATCAGCATTTAAAGCATTTATCACTCTCTTAGTGTGGCATGCTACGAGATAAGGGAACAAGGTCCCTCAGGTCCCTGTTCTCTAGAAAGTTCTGACTTCAGATGTTTTAAATGTATACATTACTTTTCAAATAACATGCATCTGTGACATGTCAAATTGACAAATTAGTTACTTCTTGGCAGATTTTGGCTGAATGCTATAATGTCAAGCTGTCTTGATTGAGATCTATCCTTATATTACAATGCATAGAGCAAAACAGTATATTGTGGCCTACAAAAATTAATTTCACTGTGTGTCAGTTAATGGATTAGGAAATGAAAATTGACCACATATGCAATTGTCAACAGCATTTAGGTTTAGAAATATATATTAGAGTGTGTTATTTGAAATCTGGCAGATAGAATAGAAAGGTGTCTCTGATAATTATGTGCTCAACATGTTTCATGTTATCTATATGCACACAGCGTAATTCAGACAATATTCATGCAGTCTGGTTGTAGGAGATGTGAATTGTTTATTTTGCTTCTAGTGAAGTTATGCCGTTCATAAAATAGATGCCTTTAGTGAGTAACCGTGTCACAGAATAATGACTTTCATATTAAAATAAATAACCCAAAGACATCACCTTTGAACTTACGATGGACCTTTTGAAGTCTCACATTCAGTGTCAGAAGTCATAGCACAGAACATTTTTGGCCTTAAAAGTCACTTGAGTATTAACATTATTCTTCATTATTTTGTAGATGCCACTCTGAGTAACACAAGGAAACTAAGTTCCCCTTGAATTAAAGGAAAATGAATAGATTTAAAAATTAAGATTTCCTTTGGAGGTGTGAACTAGATTATCGTTCTTGTAAGCATTACAGGTAAACAGCACAAGAGTCAGGGAGCTCCTATGCTGCCCGTGACAGTCCCCGCATTGCCTCAGGACTGAGGTGGACTTCGTCATTCACAGTTTGTCTCACTCTTGCAAGAAGCCATCTTCACACCTTCCATCCCCCCAGGTGAAAAGTGCAGTGTTATTTTGTTTCCAAGTAGGGTTTTTCTTGGCATGCATTCAAATTCCATCTAAACACTGGAAATCAATTATTCTGAACATTTACAGGTAGAAAGCTTTACCTGTAATTTAGGGGGTAACTTTTCAGTAACAAAATAGAACAAAACAAAACAAAGCAAAAAATCCAAAGAGAGAAGAGAGAATCAGAGATTGTAATCACCCTTAGTAATCAGTAGTTTATTATTTAATTCTGTTAGCTATGTGACTATAATGTGCCAAAGGGATATGTTCTGAAGGACCTCTTTTGCACTTTGACTGGTATTTAGGGTTGTCAGAGCTGTCTTACCAGCTCTAAAAAGACCCAAAGCTCAAAATCCTGCCGTTAGGATGTGTTGAAGTTTACATTTTATGCATTGAAATTTAGATACGTCACAGCTTTAAGTTAAATATCCATATTTGCACAAGAAATTTTCCTGTAACAAAGCTCTGCTTTCCAGTGTCTTTACTTGCTGTTGAACATTCTAGAAAAATCTATTCTAGTGCAGGTTTTCTTAAGTTATATTGTGTTTCTTCCTACGGTTTTTCTTTGATAATACATGGATAGGTGTCTTGCTTTTAAATACGTAAACAGTGTGATCACTTGTCTTAAAGCACAGGCCCAGTCGTTGCATGCAGTGTTGAACTTAGACTTGGAGCATTTTATATTATGGGCCAGTGAAGACAATGGTTTGTAATTGCTGCCTTTTGAATCATGGATTGTGAGGTTTACCATCAAGTTGTCCTATTAGGTGCATGTTTTTTGATGATTGGTTTTACAGTGAACAATAACTATATAACACATAACTTATTTATCTTTTAAGTAGTTGTGTGGATCATGTCAAGATCATAGTTTATTTCAGTGGTGTCATTTGATGGAACAATTTTTATGACAAACCAATTGTATTTTATTCAAAGGTACCTGTAAATTATAACTCTTCTAATGTCCAATTGCTGGGATTTATGATGGTTGATTTATAACTCACTTCATGAACATATCCACATGTTTGATATTTCACTTAATTAATGCTTCTGCAACAATACAACTACAAAATGATATTAAAACACGTTTCTTTTGTGTGCTGATCCTGTAATTAGAAGACAGAACTAAGGGATAAAATTTTTGAATAATGATGCCCCTCTGCACAAAAGATTTTAATTTCATGGTATTAAACTAGGAATTTTAATCATTTGAGACAATACTGAGTTCTGTAGAGTCAAACATACAGTATAGTCTTTTAATGTTTTAATCACTGTGCAATGAATGCTGTATTTGTACATGTATTTGTATATGTAACTGCACTGTGTTAATTTGATTGGGCTCATAAGTATATGTTACTATGAAACAGCAGCAATTTCCCGTTGTCGTCAAATTTTAATTACATTATAAATGTACTTAAAATGTAAATGTACTTGCGTTAATTCCACATTAAAAATATCCAACCTTAAACTCATTCATATATTTTTTTCAGTGTAGTATAGTATCAACTAACTACACACTAAAAACTCCTTTCCACTCATTTATTAGTAATGCCCTAAAGACAGCATAAGTATTTTCAGTTAAATGTTTAGCTTCAGATTTGTCATAAAGTTGTACTAAATAAAAGAGAACCAGCTCAGTGATTGACAAAATACAATAGAACAGAGAAGAGAACCCAGAAACAGAT